AATGAATGGCTTTTTCCCCATTTTACTTTGTTTTTAATTAGATTAGATCACAAAATGGTTACCTTCGAATATTACAGGGTAAAATTGATAACTCCAAAAGTCAAAGTGACGGTGAGAATCAAAAAGAGAATCAAGATCACATCGAAAGGTGAAGCCTTTTCCTTTTCGTTTCCAGAATTCAATCGGATGTGGTCTCTAGATTGACACTATGCAAAATGACGTGATAGTCGAGTGGGTCAAGCGGCTTTGTATGGCATATATTATGATGACACGGAGTATGATTATCTTCAACATTTAAAACCAATTGGTGAAGAGGGTGGTGGTGGTTCTGTGTTCATTGAAGCCTCACCGGGGAAAAATCAAGAAAAGAAAAAAGGGGGGAACCTCTCGTTAGTTAAAGATGAGGAACTGATCAATCAGGTGCGCACCGTGATCCAAAAAGCCTGTATTCATTGGCAGCTAATTAATCACGATAGAAGAAAGAACATTGATCCTCTTATCTAATAATAATAGGAGAGTTCGAAAAAAGAGAAAAAAGTATCAATAGTTTTACCCAAAGAGGTATTGCCTTCAAAGGAAGAAATACCAATTGACCATCTTGATCGATCCTACATCCCAGATGGTAATTTAACCACGTGTGCATTATCTCGTCAACTTGCTCGAATTTAATTAATTGTTCATTTGAACACTTTGTGAATTATGCAAAGATTTGCAAGGATTTCAACCGGACTTGGATCAAAACCTTCGAGAAATACTTGAGGCTCTTGAAAATGAAGCGTACGTGGAAAATGATCTGAGCGACGATTTTTTTGCTGCCCTTAATGACGAAGGAGAGTTTGAAGAAGAAGAGGAGGAAGAGAAAGAACAAGAAGATAATTGGGAAATACAATTTAAGAAATATCAAAAAAGTCGAAAAAGTTTAAAGAGAAATGATGATGATCACGAAGAGGGCAGTGACCTTTACGAAGATGACAGGAGGTCAAGAACGACTGGTTACTCTATGACGAGTTCTATCATGTATAGAAATGACAAACTTCGGTTGCTAGATGATCAATTTGAAAAGGTGAGCCATGTGCAAAGAATAGTTTTCTTAATGTTCCACAATTATTTATTTGTTAATTTTTTAAACAGTTCGAAAAAGAATACATGTCCGACGATAGTTCAG